CCCCAAAACCCCAAAACCCCAAAACCCCTAGGTAAGTGACATAAATTGGCACATGTTAACTTTAATAATATTTTTATTTAAAAATGTTTGGCTATATATCTAAAGCTTTGAAATGGTCTTCTTCCCAAGTCAAGAAGAAGAGTATTTTCAAAGCAAGTATAACTCTGACGCATAAAAGTAGAAAATCGTGTATTCCCTTCATTGCCAGCATGACATCCCTTGCAATGATGATCTTTCTTGTCACCATAGGGGTTATCCTATTCATACAAATGATAAGAAGGGAACAAATGCAGTGGAATCAGAATGTATCACGAATCCAGCTACGAGAAGATAAATCTGAAGTAGCTCTGACTGACTTTGATGATATTTCCATTAGGTTCACTATTCGAGACAAAACTCCTGATCAAAACCTTATTTCTAGTGGTTTAGTAAATCATTTATATGATATTTTAGCTCTGAACGCTACTCTCATCACTACAAATTATGACGACGAAGATATTCCTTCCCTCACAGAAGAGAAGTTGCAGTTTAAATTATGAAGCAAATATGATTTTGTAAATTCAAAGCAAAATCCAATCATCATTAAAGAGATAGAGCAGAATCTTACTGAACAGCTATGACTTAATTTTACAGAGAATTCTCTAGCTGGGAATGAATATAACCGTGAACTGCATAAATATATTCAAATAAATTCCTATATCCATTCAAATTTTTCTGGAAGAGTTGAAGATAAGGAAATTTATATCTACCAAGAGATTCAGACGAAATATGTAGACTTGGATGACTATGAAGCTCCTATAAAATACTATTACACTGACTACGCCATCACGAACCAGAACACCAACATTATTGATGGTTTTCATGAGTTTACTTATAAAATTAAGCGTAACAGCTTGGAGCTTGAAGATCATTGGTGGGACTTTTTGTCCTCGTCAGAGGAGCGTGAGTTCAACAGTGTCGAGACCAACCCTGAACATGTTATACTTAGTGCGGATTATGATCCCTATACTTCGAGCAGATTTAATTTCAGGTTCCAGCTCAGCGAAGAAATCAACCAGTATGGCCGCAGAGTCACTAATTTTCTTGAAGTTACAGGAACAATTGGAGGATTGTTTGAGATCCTTGACATAATTGTAGGAATTATCATCGGATATTTCTACTCAAAAAGTCTCAAGAAACAAATTGGTCAAGATCTTTACAAAGCTAACAAAAGAATAATCGTCCTCGAAAACAGCATCCAGAAGATCCTCAAGATGCCTTCTGACAAGAAGCCTGCTTGTCAGAAGGCAGCTACGGATTGTGTAAAGGAAGTTAATAAGTCTAGTCAAGAAGTTGAAGAAATTAAGGAACTTGACCAAGAAGACAGTAAAGTTATGGAAGCAGCCAATATCTGAGAGGATCATGTACAGGGACTACCTTCCTTATATGAAGACCACAAGTCAGACAAATAGACAAGAAGATGACAAGAACGATTCCAATTTTATAGAAGGCGGAGTTTCTGAGAATCAATATTTGAAGAGAGATAGTGATGAAGGACGACAGAATAATATTTATCTGCAAGAAGAGCCTCTAAATGAAGGTATGTTTGTTTTTTTTCAAGCTATTTAATGGCTAATTTTAGTAGAATACAGAATTTTGAGTATTATTGGATTAGAGAAGTTATTTGGCCATCTTGCTTAAGTCTATCTTCAGACTTGACCAGGTTTTTAAGAATACTTAATTTGTTTTGAGATATATTTAAGAAGATTAATTTCATTATAATTTATGAAGATCATATCTTTTAGAGAAAATTTTTCCTCAAGTCTTATATCTAGTAAAATTATAAAAATTAGCTTATCTTGAAATAAAGTAAAATTCTGAACTTTTAATGAACTCTTTCTGACACCTCTTGTAGATCTCGGTGACACAGATGACTTTATTAAAAATAATCTGGATTGCGTCGATCTCATATTTCAAATAAAAGAGTTGCAACTTAAAACAAAGTATCTCCTTTCTAAAGATGCTGAATATTTAAAGTATGGATTTCCTGAGCTCTATCCTTCTATTAGAGCTACCTACAGAAGCACACACAAATATGCCTCTTCAGACAAACCCAATTCTAATAACCTACTCAAAAGATCTGTTTCTAACACAAAAATTCATCCTGGGCCGTCTGGTTTCTCTAAGTCAGAAGTTCCACACAGATTTTTCGAATTCAACCAGCTTATACTGCAAGCTTCAAAAGCAGCAAGTCAGGCTCCGGCTGACTTTGACTTAGAAGATAGAAGAAGGCAAAGGAAATACAGGCTGGGTTAACCCTGCTACAAAAGTTACAAGATAACTTAAGCCAAAGGACTCCATGTTACTAATAGAGCTTCACTCAATTTTATTTTTATTATTCGGGGTTTTGGGGTTTTGGGGTTTTGGGG